GGGAAAAAAAAAAAAAAAAAAAAAAAAAAAAAAAAAAAAACACATCTTAGTAAAACCAATACCTTCTCAGCTTCGCATCGAAGCTAAAATAGAATAAAATCTCAATTAAAATTAATGCATTTTTTAACAAATATATACAGGTAACCTGTTTATCATAAACTATTCGTTTACTTACAAAATAAATACAACATTGAAAAAAATGTTTTGGTTATTTTTGTTCAATATATTTTTTTATTTATCAACTATTAATTATTTTTATCATCATATTTTATAGATTATAAGAAAGTCAACTTTATTTTTAGCAACTTACATATTTAACTGGCTTATAAATTAAGAAAACGACAGGTCAATAATAATTTTTGAACCAGTACTATAGAACTAATGATTATTTGTAAAATATTGACTGAAGGCGAGGAAAGTTTAAAAATTATTTATATCATTACACATTTCTCTGCTGTAATCCTCCTCCCATCCAGGTATAAATATTTAATACCTTCCAATGTATTGGTTCAAAAGTTGATATTAATCAGTTATTTTCTTAAATAGATAATTTCCTATTTTATAAGCTAGTTATTTACAGACTGAATCACAAAGATATGAGAAATTCAACAACATTTAAACCAATTACAATTTCTTTGAAATTTTTTTAAAAATAATTATTGCTTACTTAGAATATGTTATTATTACAAGCATATTTTTTTTTTTATAAGCACAAGGTATGTTAACAATGTAAAATATAAAAATAAAAAAATTAATTTTTATTTTATTCAAAATTTTTAAATAGGCACTTTTTAGAATTTTTCTCAAAAAAAATTTTGATGTGTTGATAACAATTTTAAGACAAGTACTTATCATGTTACAAGCATTTAAATAAATACAGTAGGTAAGGAATGCGGGTAGAGTCTACAATTACTAGTACAGGCTGCACTTGTGTCAATGAATACTTATTTTATCATTTTTATTAATTCATTATAATTTTCGGTAAGGAAAAAAGCTAAAGAATGGCTATTTTAAAATTTTGTATTTATTTTTCTTTTTAATTAGTAATAAATAAAAAATATACTTAATGTAGTTTTAAAACCAAAAATTATTTTTAAAAAAATTTCAACAAAACGATTTGTTATATCTTTGTGACTCATCCTCTATGTATATTATTATAGAAAAAAATAAGAGTGTTCACCCTTATAAGTTATAATGAATGATTTTAAAAAGTTATTAATAGCCAATCAATCAAGAAATATATGTAACTAAAAAGACCAACACTTTTTCAATATTATATTTATTTATGAATAAATGAGTGGTTTATCTTAAAGAATTATAGTAAAGAAAATATTGTGGATATAAGTAATATTCAATATAATACATTATATAGTTAATAAGTTGAAATATACTCTTTACTGAACTTATATTTACTAAGTAATTTTTTTTTAAGTATTAGTTGGTGATCTTATGTTTGATATTACCTTTAATAGAAACATAAGCTCTTCCATCTTGTGTATACTCAACCTAGCAAAAAAAAAGAATGAATTAAATTAATGTTAATTTAAATAAATATATTTTTTTACTTACTGGTGAAGCCTCTGTCAATGATTTAGTTGACATCATAGGTTTTTGATAATTAGAAATGAATTCAGATACTTTATATGCACATGGATGATTAAGTAATCTTTCAATTGCAACAATAAAATTATTGTACTAAAAAAAATGGATATTTTTATAACGAATATTTTTATTTTATTTTAATTAATTAATTAATTTTAATAAGTTTAAAGCAAAAAAGTTTTATATCAGCGTCTCCATCAATTTACGAAATGTTTTTTGGACTAAAATACAAATGTCTATCAGAAAACATAATTTGAAAAGGGTCTCAATAAAGAGTTAAATTTAGTCATGATAATGCTGTGGTTCTCATAATTAGTGTATACAAGTTTAACATTAAATTAATATTTAAAATTTTATAAATGATTGCTTTTATGATTTTTTATATATTTTTGATAAATCAAAAATCAAATAATAATTAATTACTTCTTGGTCAGATAGTTTTTCAACAGTCAGTTTTTCTAAATCTGCTTTGGTAAACCACTGTATTCCAGCTATTGTTCTATAAAATGATATTTTTTAGTTAAATGAAAATTATAATTGATGAAATAGTTAAAATAAATAGAAAAATGTTTTACAATTTTTTTTCTTCATCTGGAAGTATGTTGCTTTTTCTTAAATTGTCTTCAAATACATTTAATTCAGACAAATTAGTCGCAATATTCTAAAATATTAACATTATTAAATTAATCATAAATAATAACTGATGTCTATTTATTATGTCTTTAAATTAAAAAGTTAATATGTCAGTAAAATTGTTTATGGTTACACATATTTTTAACAAAAATTCATTATTATTTTATAAATTACACTAAAATCATAATATTTATGATTTTAATTTATTAATAAAAAAAGAAAATTTGTCAAAATAGCCATTTTTGAAGCATTTATTATAAAAAAATTTTATGAGGTAATAATATTAAGAGGAGTATATATTAAGTAACAATAATTTCAATATATAGAATAGGAATGTAGCGCAATTAAAGTTTTCATTATAAATATACAAAATAATAGCTGTACCCGCCCACTCTACAAGTTACTTAATATATTAAATTATAAAGTAATTCAATAAATACTTATTCTTCGATTGTTATTGATCCATTAAAATTTTCTGTAAAAAAACTCTAAAAAATTGCTATCTTGAAAAAAATCAATTTTTAAAATATCAAGTTATAGTAGAGGAATGGTGAATCATTACATACATATGTAAAAAAATTTTTCATAAAATTTTTTTTTTATTTTATTCAATTATCAGCGAGGTATGATTCATTAAGGTTTAGCGGACGCGAGTGTTACTCACGTTGATTTATAAGACGCGCAAATTTTTAGTCGCAGTACAATACACCGATAGTTTTTATCTGTACATTAAATATTAATATTACTGTATTTACCTGACTACTGTATTGTTTGTTAAATCCCTTAAACTTTAAATAGTGATATCTCGTTTAAAATTTATTAAAATTGATTTTTTTAAGAATTTTTTATTTTATGCTTAACAAGATTAATAAAAATATAGGTTGTTATTTGAAAAACTAAAATTGATATTGAATTGAGGGTTACGAGATGAAGATGGAATCTTTGTCAAATAGCTCAATAAAGATTTATAACAAATAAAATAATTACTTATATGATAACACTAATATTTTTAAAGAAAATTCGTGAGGCATTGTTAGTCAATTACCCTGTATAAGTGTTTCCTAAAAAATTAGTTTTATGACTATACACTTCCCTTGTAAAATTTTTTTATGTGAAATAATTTTTTAAAAATATAATTATAATTTAATATTATTATAATAATTAATATCTGTCCTCCTTAGTTATAGTAAAATAATAATAAAATTAAAATTACTTTTTGAGGAAAATTCTAATAATTTGTTTAGTAAACATATAAAATACAAAAACATACGGATATTAGAACACATACATGTAAGATTAAATAAAAGTTTGGTTTTCCTGTATAAAAAAACACGTGATATGGTCGTCCTGATTCATCAAATTCTGCATCTTTTTTAGAAGGGAAAACTTCATTAGGTGGTTTCATTGATGGCCGCGCTTTTGGATCATATAGACCTGATGGAAAAAGATATTCAATTGCTTCCTAAAATCAATTTAAATAAAGAAAAAAAATGACTCATAAAACTTATACCATTTATAATTACTATACTTACATCAATATCTTTCTGAGTAAATGTTTCAGGATCAACTCCCATCATATTGGCTAAATGTCGTTTCCCAACATTGTATTCATGAGTCTGTTGCTCCATGAATTTATCTATGGCAAAAGTGTAATTACTAAAATTTCATAAATACATCAGATATTCATAATTCAATTTGTTAAAATAAAATTACATATTATCAAACACTAAATAAATGATAATTTACTAATTTAAAATAAGTATCATTTAAATGAGGCAACTTGATACAGTAAAATACCTTTTAGAATTTTAGTTGTATCAATCTACAGCACTAACAAAATATTTACAAATATTGTTAAGAAATATAAAATATTTGTTTTTAAAAATTAAATAATGAAACCTATAAAAATTAACACAATAAAATTTAACCATCACCTCATGTTTGTCCATTTGACAGTACCTATAGTCCTCAATATAATTGAGTAACTATTAAATGCAGATTTTTAAATTCTACAGTTAACCCCTTTTTTACAATATTTATATTCTGTGAATTAAAGACGTATTCTTATCTCTCCTTGAAATTTAAAAAAACTTAAGTTTTTTATTGGAAACATTTAAATTTAACCAACTTACATACTAGTAGATAATCTATCTAAGAAAATGACTAGTTGTTATTAAAAAGTTATCTCAATTAAATTTTAAAGGGAAATAGGACCAAATTGTTTTCTAGAAGTTATAGAACATAAAATACTATTAATTTCTAAAATATTATATTATATTTTATATTATCAAAGATACTATGTTAACTATAGTTAAAAAATCACTCTGTATAGTTTTTACTAATATTAAAGTTTAGAAAAAAACATTGAATAATAAAATACATTAAATATTTAACTTTAAAATTAAAACTATTTTTTTTTATTATTTTAACTATACTTCATACAAGTATTCCAATAATCTAAATATTAATTTTTTTATATTTTATACTTCAATAACTAATGTAACATACATTTAAAATATTATAGTATTATTATAAATTAAACTTTTATAAAATATAAAAATTACTGTATTGTGTAGCTCTTTGAAGATAAGCTCTCATAGCTAAACTAGTTTTTTCTTCCTTAATTTCTCTCTCTGTAATTTCAACTCCAGGATTATCACTTCCAACATTATTTAATCCATAATTAAATTTGAGTATCTAAACATGTGTTTAATAAAATTACTTAGCTTAAAAATCAAAATTTAATTATACTTATAAACATACACAATTTCTTAAAACTTTTACATTATTTGCTTTAAATAATTTAGAAAATGACTTGGATAGAATCTGTTGCATCATCATTGTTATAAAATAAATTGGTTTATCAATAATTAGATTACTTAAACTGCATTACTAGAAATTATTTTTAATTTTAAATATAGATGAGTTATGATTATGTTACTACGAATATAATTGCATCATTTATTATTATAAAGTAAACTTGTGTATAATTTTTTAAATTTAGTTATTAAATTTAAATGATATTTTTTTAATTTTTATAGTAAATTTGTTATTGCCTAAACAAAACAATTCATACAAATAAAATTAACGATTCCCGGTACGAAAAATTATTTTCAACTTTTCCTTCTGTTCTTACTATCATGTTCATTTAATGATGATAATAATGGGATGACAGTTATATGTTCTAATGGCAATTCCATCGAATACAATTACTCCGACGTTACAAAATTTTAATTGTCAAATTTCAAATACGAACAAAAATGTATTTTTATAAAAAAATATTTTTAAGGTGAAAAGGAATAAAATTAGATATCCCTATCATTTTGCTCAAATTACCCCTATATTTTATTTCTATTATTTCAGTTAAATTTTCTTTAAAACTATAACTCTAAATTTTCTCTTACTTTTAAAGTTCAATGTCAGGTAAGAATATTTACCAAGATTTTTTTATATGTAGCAAAAAAAATCTTTATTATTTATTCAACCAATGACAAAAGTAATTTTTGAACAAATATAAAATAAAACCTATTGATTATCAGACCACTTATAATATGACTATTAGGCACTTACTGGTCTAAAAGGATATGCTATGATTGACTACACGTAAGGTTATGGACATAACTCGAGTTGGCTTCAATATGTCAAACATCATTATGCTTGATCTATTTATTGATATATCTTTCTAACGGACACACGTTAACTGTTGAAAATTTCTAATTTTAAATCGCGCCTATTACTACACGGGAATTTTTACAACAGCACAAAATACCATGTTTCAAATGCAGAAGACAATTAACTACTGTACTTATTTTTCTCCCTGCAGAAGATATCGTTACCATGAAATAAGTTATGAGCAAAAAAAAAAATAGAAAAACTCAGTCACTTATAATGACCAGGCTAGTAAAATTCGAGATGGGTCCCGGGTCGTTCGTTCCACCCCCTTAATCAGTTCTAGCGGAGTGAGAAAATGTTTCAACAAGTAAATTACCATGTCGATTTAATAATCCGCATATCACGTACTCCATCGGAGATATAATCTATGTTAGTCAAAATTTCCAACCACTGACTTATCAAACGATCTCGCAACACTTCGTAGAAAAAACTAAGATGCGTATTCCTCGCCATAGACTGAGGGTGCCACAAGTCTAATTTATCTCCAATCGAGTCAATACAGTGAGTCAAGTAAATATTCGGGCATCAAAAAAATTAATTTGTCTTTCGAATCGCCATTGTCTTACAGACCTTTAAGTATGATGAATACCATTAGAAAAATGTTTGAACGAGTAATTATACTATACATAAAGATGTGCAAGACGGTGGCAATTCAACAGGCAAATTATTTTTTCTAAACGATGTCCTAATATTTACTTGATTCACTGTACTCCGATACAATTTCTCGGCATTCTAGAAAAGTTCAATAAATTTATTCGAATTTCTTCGATCTAATTGCTCTTACTTGCGAGTTCATGATAAGCTTGTTGAATTAAATTTTTTTACAATGCACAATCACACACGAAAAGTCAATGAAGAATTTATTAACGAGAAATAACAGCAGATCGCAATTCTTTTAAATGTTTACTGTATATATAGGTAGAAATTCCCTTGTTATATAGCAACCGACTTGTTAATATAATAGATTTTGCACATTAAATATTATTTTCAGCTAGTATACTTTATTATTTTACTTTCACTCAATATACTTTTTACATATCAACCCAACATATTTTATTACTTTACTTCCAGCCAGTATATACTTATAATAATTAAAATGATAAAATTTTTATGGTAACAACAAATAAAAAAAAAACCCAGCACAGTGGAGTCGCGGCATAGTGGGGACGTTGCATAGTTGGGTCCAGTATAGATTTAATCTGACAGTGATTAAAATCACTATCATAAGAAACGCTTCGATGCAAATCAGTAGATAGTGTTTAATTCTAAGAAATTGGTGGATAATTACAAAAGCTACATGATCTGCTAGTTCCTTATTAATACCCTGATTAAGATAAAGTATGTCGAATGAAAAAGGGATTATTAAAAAATATTATTTCTCATAAAAAAATTGTGTTGATTCGTACACTTTTCAATGAGTTATAGCATTATAAAGTTAAAAATGTAACCAACCCAACCCAACATCAACTCCTATTTCCTTAATTATATCCAGATTAGTAATTATTTTAATTATATATTATATAATTTTTATAATTAATTATTTTCAAATTATTATTGATTTTTAATATGTTAAAAGTAATCATTTTGAACCTACTTCTTTTTGTTCTTTAAAGTGAAAGTTTTAATAAAAAAAAAATGAATTTATTACCATAACTTTTAACTCAACTTGCAAGTTTGAAATAAATATTATTAAATAGAAAAAAATGAAATTGGTAGATTATTTCAAAAACAACAATAACACTTATTCCCTTAATTTTACCCCGATTTATAACTATAATATATGAATACATAATAATTACAGTAATTAAATTGAGTATGAAAGTGGTATTCAATAATATAATATTGTAATTTTTACGGAGATATTATAAAAATAAAAAGGAGTTGTATATTCATATACTTTTAATGCGTATACAAATTTAAAGGAATTTATGCAATACTTTTTAATAAAAAAATTTTGTTACTTATGAATAAATACACTAAACAAAAGGAACTTTCATCAGAAAAAAAATATACTTTTCTAAATAAACTTTTCGTGATGTTTTCAAATGTGCAATTAAACTTTTTCTATTACTTCTAAGTTTTAATATTATTACTTATTATTAAAAAATAAGTATTTACATATAAAAAAAAATAATTAAGAACAAAAAAAATTGTATTAAATTAATACTGATTTTGATTTTTAATATGTTAAAGGTAATCATTTTGAACCTATTTTTTATTGTCTTTTAAAGTGAAAGTTTTAATGAAAAATACCTTCTCAGCTTCGCATCGAAGCTAAAAAATGAATTTGTTACCATAACTTATAGTTCAACTTGCAAGTTTGAAATTGACATTATTAAATTGAAAAAAATGAAATTTTTAAGATTAATATGCAATCTGGAAATTTTATAATTACTAATTACAGTACATTTGTCAGAAAAATTCGATTTTTTTACATTTTTATCGTAATAGATAACTGAAATAGAAAGAATAGTAATCATATCCTAATAACTTTTGGTGTTTAAAAAAATTCTGCAATTGAAATATTCAGAACTTAATTAATTTTAATAATTTACTTTAATTAAATGAACCAATCAAACCAAAGTAGTTAAAAAGATTTACTCAATTGAGCATATTATCAAAAATATAATTATAATTGTAAAACTCCATCGTTAACTTCAGGTGAAACTAAAAATCATTTTTTTTTTAAATTTATGATTTATATAGCAAAATATTACTAAAAAATTTGGCATATTATAGACTGGTAGTAGCACACAGAAATAGAGTTAAAAAATTAATAAATTATAAAGTAAAATTATTTACTTTTGTAGTTGAATACTTTTATCATATCAAATTTAATTCGACAATAAATAATTTAAGAATATTAAAAATTAATGATTTTAATTGTTTGTATGGACAAATCTAGTTAAGCTACTTTTTATTTGAATAAGGAATATTTTTTTGATTTTTAAGAGTAATAACTTAAACTAATTAATAACTTAAATATCATAAACTTAAATGAATCATTTGACGTATCGTTGAAAAAAGTAGGTCTAGGGAGGGTTGGCAAAATAAATCGTAGCCACAAAAAGAACCACATAGTAAAATAATATTAACATGAATATCAATTTCTTCTCACGAGGGGAGACTATAGTGATAAGATCCTTTATATTTATTGAAATTATTGAATCTAAATGAGATAAATATCAAATGATTTGAAAATTCTATTCTAACTCAAAAAAACAATGCAAAATTTTGGAAGCCACGAACGGATTTGAATCTCGTACCCTAGGCGTGAAAGATCAAGGTGTTACACATTCGGCAACTGTTCGTTGCTTTTTGTCGCATGATAAAATTGATTATTTAAGCTAACTCAAATTTAAAAATTACTTTTTCGACTTTAAAAAAGTAAAAAATGTTAATAAGTATAATATCATATGTCTTATGAACTTTATTCTATGTCAATGAAATTATATAATATTCATGAAAGTCAGTTTATTCCCCTAATAAAATATTTTAAAATAAAATAAAATACAAAACCTAGAATTTTAATAAAAAATAGCATATTTTTAAATACGGTAGCCTTTTGCGCATAGAAGATAGGTCGTCGGGACAAATTTTTTTTTTTCATTTAGTAGTACATAAAATAAGCTTTAATTTGATATATGTTTAAAGGACGCAGTATTTCCGGAACATTTTCAAAAATTAAGTTGAAAAAGTTAGTTTTTGTAAAAAAGTTGCTATTTTAAATCCCCCCTGTGAGCAGAATAAGTGTTAGATTTTCAAAAAAAAATGATATCAAATGAAAGGAAATTACCTAAGGTTTCAATATAAAGAAATGTTATTTTGATTAGTTAATATTTGAAAAAGTTAAGGGAGTTTTAAGTACAAAAAACATTCCGATAGAAGGTGATTTTTATCGTAAACATTACATTTTTTTTATAATTTCGACAGCCATTTGCACATAGAAGATAAGGTGTCGGGACAAATTTTTTTTTTTCATTTTATAGTACATAAAAAAAGCTTTAATTTGATATATGTTTAAAGGACGCAGTATTTCCGGAACATTTTCAAAAGTTCAGTTGAAAAAGTTCTATTTTTTATACAATGTTTCAAAGTTTGAACCCCCCCTATATAAGGGGAAATTGTCTAATTTTAATAAAAAGTATGTCAAATGGAAGATGTACTTATAATGTATTTAGAGAAAAAAAAATTGTGCTGATACATACATTTTTCGAAAAGTTATAGCATTTTTAAGTTGAAAATTAAAAATCGAAAATTTTTACACAAAAATAGTGTTTTTTAACTACGGCAACCGTTTACATGCAGAAGATAAAGTGTCGGGACAAATTTTTTTTTTTCATTTTATAGTACATAAAATAAGCTTTAATTTGATATATGTTTAAAGGACGCAGTATTTCCGGAACATTTTCAAAAATTAAGTTGAAAAAGTTAGTTTTTGTAAAAAAGTTGCAATTTTAAATCCCCCCCCATGAGCAGGTTAAGTGTTAAATTTTCAAAAAAATTATATCAAATGAAAGGAAAATATCTAAGGTTTTAGTTTAAAAAAAAATTATGTTGATTTGTTGATTTTTGAAAAAGTTATGGAAGTTTTAAAGAAAAAAAGTGAAAAAAATGACAAAATTTGTCGATTTTTAAATTTGTAATTTTTTTGGATATTTCCCCCATTTTCGGGGAACGAGGGAAAATTTTTAAATTTTTAAGGGTAATGTCTTCAACTAGATACAATTTGTGATCTTTTGACGTATTGTTAAAAGAAATCGGTACAGTGAGAGCTGAGAAAAAGTAGTGACAGACACAAAAAAAAAATAAATAAATAAATAAACACATCATGGTAAAATTAATACCTTCTCAGCTTCGCATCGAAGCTAAAAAAAAAAAACACATCATAGTAAAACCAATACCTTCTCAGCTTCGCATCGAAGCTAAAATTTAATTAAGAAGTAAAATTGATTTTTTAAAATTTGATGTAATGTTTGCTTGTGGAATGGACTTATCATAATAATGGTAGTAACCCTCAATAATTATCACTTTATCAGTAATATAGTAAAAATTAAATGATAACTAAATCTTATTCAAATTTAGTTTTCAAATGTTAAGTAACAAGTACGAAATATCTTATTAAGAAGTTTTTAGATCTTAGAGTTTATTTGATAAAGTCAAATTGAGCTTTTAAAAAGAAATTTTACACCAATAACCTAGGATTACAAAATTTATTTGATAATATCAGTTTTTTTTCGTTTTAATTTAATAATTTATTAGTTAAGTTTGTTATATATCAATCATTTATGTCAATAACTGACTTACTATTTTTTACTCTTCCAAAATGTCACAAGGATGTACAGAGGATTTTAAAAACAAAAAATCGCCTGTAAAAAAAGTAAGAATGAAATTTTCCAAATTCATTCTAATGTATTTTACGAATTACATTAATTATTAGATAAAAGAAGACCGTAAGCAGTTGCCCATTGTTTTAGCCAAACGTGATAATTCTATGGAACAAAATCAAGAATCAGAAAAACCTCAAATTCAACCAACAATTTTAATTAAATCACGTGATCCTGAAAATAGGTCTTCATCTCCTACTAAATTAACCCCACAATTATTGTAAGAGCCAATATTATATCTAAATTTAAATTATTTTTATTCTTTCTACTCTAAAATAATTGTAACTTCAGTGACGTTAAAATTAAAATCACTATCACATTGATTAATAATTTTTTATCTTATTATGTAACAGTTAATAAGTTATGATTTAAATTTTAATTCTTACCAATATTAAAAACTAAATTAAATTTTAGGATAAAAAAAGATGAACCACATCAACAATGTATTCTTAAAAATTTGAGTGATGGTAACTTTTTTGTTTTGATTTATAAAAAAATACATTAGTTAGATTAAAATTAATCTTATATATTTTTTTAAACAGATCAAATTTTGTCTCGTGGTCCTGAAATGAAAACACCTGTTAAAATAATTGATGACTATATGCAATTTATCAATGAAGGTTTAAGTAATTATTTAATTGATCAACCAGATTTTTTAGTAATTGGATGTATAGGACTACAGGGTGTTGGAAAGTCTACAATAATGTCTTACATTGCTAATAAGTTAGTAATAATTTCTGTACATATTGTAAAATGGCATTTAGTTTATCATTATAGAATTTAACTATAATGCATTTGATAACGCAAATAAATAAAATTGGTAAACTGACCTACTTAGAATTAAAGTTATTAGTTGGTGTATGGTTCAATTCTAAGTGATAATGTAATAATTTTATCTTTGTATCTTTGATTTCAAGGAATATGAGCTTAAGTTACTTTGATCAACTTTTCAAGATTTGAAACATTAAAATTAAAAAATTCTTATGTTATTAAAAATTTATTTAAATTTAATATAAAATTTTAGTACTCTTTAGGCCTGATTTATTTACAACTACAACAACAGAACACTTTGAAACAACACAAAATTGTACTAATGGGATTCAAGCCTTTGTTATGAAAAATAGAGTTATATTATTAGATTGTCAACCTATTTTATCGTCATCTATTGCATATTCAGCAAGTCAAAAAAGAGTTGGTCAATCTATGGATTCATCTGGTGTAATTAATGACAATGAAATGGTTTCTTTGCAGCTAACTGCATTCTTATTATCAGTATGTCATATAGTTTTGCTAGTTCAAGATTGGTTTTTTGATGCTAATATTTTCAAGTAAGGAACAGTTAATTTAATTTAACTGATACTTTAAATTTTAAATTATATACATATATCTCTTGATTATTGTTTGACAATAGAGAAATTGAATGACACTTTAATAAATACAAACTACTCTCTCAAAAAAAAATGTTCAAAGGTTTGTTGCATTCTATATAATGCTAAACTTATATATTTACCAAAATGAATTTGTAAAATTATCTTAGGTAATAAATTTTAATCACAATTTACATTTATAACCTTATGTTCAATAATTAATTATTATTATTAACATTCAATTAAATAATTGTAATAATTTAATATTTTCATATAAAATTTTTTTTTTTTTTGAGTATTGAATTTTCAACTGCAGCAATTAAATAAAATATTTGAAAATACAATTTTTTTTTTAGTATTATAAATTTTACTCAAACATCCAAAGGATATAGTAAATTAATAATACAATTTCTAAAATTCCTTAAATTTTTAATGTTTAATGTGCAATTTCTTTTTAAAGAATACTTCAAACTGCAGAAATGCTAAAGCCACCTATGCCTACTTCTCATCGCAATGAAGAGCTTATAGAATATTTTCCTCATATTGTTTTCGTTCAAAATAAAGCTTTCTATTCTGATTTTAGTATTGAAAATATCAAAACTATTCAAGTAAATATACAGTCTTTAAATGATAATGATAAGTATCATCAATTATTTTTTTATATATAGCAAGTTTATACCCAATTATTTGTCCGATCACGCCTCCATATTCAAAGTGGAATAAGTATTGCTAATGGAAATGTTATAAATGAACTAAATCCAAATAATTGTGGAGAACCTATTAATTTATTTTTATTAGCTAATAATGATAAAGAAGAGCAGTTTAGTGAGTTTTATATTAGTTATTTTCAATGAAAATAAATAAAATAATTATTATATTTAAATAGATACAAAGGGTTTTCATAAAATGAATCCAGGTCAATCTGTTTTAATCAATGAGTTTAGAAAACAACTACTAAAATTACAAATTCTACCTCTTACTCATACCAATCTGACAGAAAAAGGATGGTAAGTAAAACATAATTTAAATGTTAAACTTATAATGTATTATTCTTCAAATCAAATTGTTTGATTTCCATTTAGTGTGCAACATTAAATTAGTTTTATTATTGAGTCATTTTTAATAAATTAATAGATATTAAAATAAAATATTTTATTTATTCTATAGATATTCAAATGAGAATTTTTCATTGAATTATGAAATACTTTTTACCATTTAACATATTTTATCATTTTTACAGGTTTCATTATTGTATTAAAGTTTGGGATTCCATAAAGAAAAGTCAATTTTTTAATGAATATAATAGGTTACAAGTATAATAATTATTACAAAAATGAAGAATTAATTATGATTTGATTTACTATTACAAAAAATTGTAATATTGATAATGATTTTGTATTTATTTATAAATAATACAATGTGTATAAATATTTACAGACAAGATATATTTTTAAACTTTTATTGATTTCAGTTTTCGATTTAACTCCTCAAACTTCAAAACTTTTCTAATAAAGAAATCACCATATCTATGTGCTACTTTTGTATCAGCTATATGAATCATATCTCGATCAATATAGAAATCCAACTAAATATGACAAAAGAGTTTAACAGTGTTATATAAAACTAATCAAAATTAAAATAATAAATAATATACCTCAGATCCAGAGTGGAAGTATCCATCTAAACCCGAAGCACCTTTATTCCACACAATATTTTTCATTTTGTGTTTAAAGCAAAGCAAGTGTTTAGTTAAATTTTCTTTATCATCTGCCTGATCATTGTTTTCTCTTTGACTTTGTCCTTGAGCCATGAATGTAACCAACTTATTAATTGGTAAAGTTGTGTACAATTTTAAATAACTATAAAAATATTGCATATTGTTAATAGTTTTAAAACAAGACATAATAAATATACAAATATGCTTGCTTAATACCTGCGAATAGTAGGTAACATTTTTTGTTGTTTCACTTCAGCCATGAATACAGATGTTTGATACTTAACCGCTTCTTTAACAGAGTCTTCAGCTGGATCCATTGATAGAAATTTGGGACAAGCCATTTGGAAACAATTTTCAAACTCTTGCAAATCACCATATTGCATCTTAAACATTCTATCGGTGTAATTTTTTTCCCTTAATACTTGCTGAATAGATTCATCAACACACTGTGGATGTAAAACTAGACACATAGCCAACAATGTATACATCTGATCAGTTTGCTTGTTTATCTGTTTACAAATAAATTGATAAAATACTTTTTGGTTTACTTAAATAAATGGCCTGATTTTAAAGTTAATATGTAACAATTATTTTTAAAATTAAGAATAAAACTAAACCTACATTAGGTTACTGAATAAAATATAAAAAAAACCAAAAATTAAATAAATATATACAACGAAAAAATATAAAAAAATATGTTGTAAATGAAAAACTAAATTTTATTTGGGACAATAAATTTCAAATCAAAATATTAAGTTTTTCTATAAAAAAACATTTGATTTTTACATAAATAAAAACAAATAAATTTACTTTGGAATTAAAACTACTAAAATAAAATAATTGTTTTTGAAAAAGTCATTAAAATATATGAATAATAACTGTTTAAAGAAAATAAGTATTTTTTTTATTTATGAATGATGGTACCAAAGTGGTACAAGTTAATATTTGAGTAAAATGAGTTAGACCTTAAAATAAACAAATAAAAAAAAAAAACTAGTTGGCGAGGAAAGTTGGGAAAAGTTAAGATAATATCTGACAGTGATTAACATCAATATCATAAAACATACTTTTATGTAATTCTGTTAAATGTATGCTTTGTTCAATATAGTACACTATAGTCTATTATTGTTAAACTACACAAGATACTTGTCAAAAAAAATTCCTATTAAATATTACAATTAATGTGTTGTACAATGTAATTATCATATGGAAATTTAAATTTTAGAGATCATTTTTTTATAAAAGATAAACTGTCTCTCATTTTAAAAAATAATGTATGTTTAAAGTACTTATTTATTTAAATATTAATTTAGTATAGGTTTCAGTTTCAAACTCTTCCTTTAATTAGTGTTTTCATTTGATGTTTAATCTACATTAATTCATTTCTAATAAGATTTAGGTATTTTAAATGGCTCTTTTGTAAAAACATTAAAATTGACTTCAACACAAACACACTAATCTCTATATTTATAATGTTAAATCTTTGAAGATCTTATTGAAAATAATTAATATTCAAAGTATTACTTGATCATTTTGATACGATCGGGTTTGGAATAATTGTTTAGTTCTTTGAATATACAACAGAATTGAGCTAAAAGTACGAATAGCATCAGAATAACGGCGCATCATCATGTAAGCAAATCCAACATAATATGCAGTTGAAATATGACATGCTGGTACTGAACTGTAAGCATTCTGAAAATAATTATAATGTGAGACTAGAGCTTATACATAACTAAATCTTCTATACTTTTTTGTGCATATCAATATTTTCAAGAACTTTGATGGCCAAATAATAATCTCCAAATAAACTATGTAAACGTAAAAGTCCAATCATGGAATAATAGCCCAACATTTTGTATAATGAATGACGTCCAAATTCTCCAGCAACAGAATCAGGATCTCCACCCGTAGCAGAAACCTCCAACTGCAGTTTTATATTTGACTTGTTTATGAAAGAATGAAGTACATTTAATACAAGTAAAACATTCCACACTTCATTATTAGAAGCTAACAAATCAATCTCTTCTTGAGTTTTGCGACTACGAGATCGAAATTGGGTAAATGATTGAAATTGGTACACAAATTCATCAACCAATTCCCATAGCCATTGGTCAGGTAATTCCAATGGCACAGGTGTCTCACAGGCTATAATGTTTAAAAAGTATCAGATATGAATTTCATTTAGATAAATTCAAAATAAATAATACAAAGAAAACTATTAATAAAAATATAAAGTTAATTTGTATTAGCAGTAATGTATCATAAATGTTAGGTAATATAAATAAATTTAAAATTATTAGAAACCTGTCTCTTTCTTTGAATTAGGCTGATTAAATCCACCTATTTTATAAAGTAAAAAAATGTTATACTCAAATTATTACAATAAAAATATTATTTTTATAAATACAATGTTGGAGAATTTATGTTATTTTATTATATGTAGCTTTATTTAATACATACTAGAAATTTTGTGTTTATTACTAATAAATAATCATTTAATTTTTATTTAAGTGCAACAAGTTATCAGATATTAATATAATCACAATATAAGCAATATAATTATTCTAATATTAGAAATTATTTTAACAAAATGCTTACTGAATATATAGTTGAAAAGATCACAATAGTTATAGAATGATCCAAACCGTTGTTTTGTAGAAGGCCCATTAGGTACACGAGCAAAAATATGACGATAGTACAATTCTTTGTACAACATTAAAAAAGTCTGAAAGTAAAAATAAAAATGAATTAATAACAATTATTTAATAACATTTGATTATTATTTTTACTTTATCATCATCCATTATTTTACGGAGTTCCTTTTCACTTGGCCATGGTGCTTTATCAAAGAACTGATCTGATAATTTAGGAAACCTTCAACAAATTATACATATTTTATGCAAAGATCAAATAATTATAACATATTTTTAAAAACATATCATATTCCATAATAATAAAATGTATTGTAAATATTATAAAAACTTACGTGTTTTCATAAAGGTTTTGCATTTCATATACCATTCCTTCATTAATAGCATTTCTGAAGTATAACAAAAATTTTTTGATGATTTCTGGCATTTTAGGCTCATAAGGATCCGCATCATAATATCTATCTTCGTAATTGTTATAATACGAGTCACCATCATAATCACTCTACAAATTTTGAATTCATAAATAATAAACGAAATAAATACTCAACTAGTTAATATCAACCTGTTCGTAATCCATTTTTAAACACTAAATAATAGTAAAAATAATATTAAATACAAAATTAACACTCCTCGATAAAACAATAACTTACAACACAATAACTTCAAACAACTAATCTAAATTTTTAAGACTGTGTAAACCTGTCGTATTCTAACCAGAGGGTTAACCTAAAACTCTAAGCTTCGTAAAATAACAAGTTAAAAAAATAGTAGGTACAATCATAGAAAAGAAAGTATGCCGACCACATGCAATTAGAGTTGTATTATTGTAACTACCGCGGTTATATAAATCAATGTTAACAGAAAATTTCATGGAAAGAACTAAATACTATACAGAAAACATCATGTGGCTATGCATATTTATATATAACTATTATATTCTTATCATAGCTCATTTGTCACTTGCAAATGTTTGTTTTAAGATAGTTACCTATGCTAGACAAAACAATTCGTATTACTTTAAATACGTTATACAATTAAAGAATTTCTGTATTTATCAAGATTTCAACGTAACTGCATGTAAATTTGTATGAAAGCAGCGCTCCTAGTGGTATTTTAGGATACAAATAACTAATTCAAAGGTTGAATAATTCAACCATACTTAACCGGCTACCATTGTTGATTGTTGTCGGTTGATAAAACCAAGCTTATGAAAGTAAATGAATTATAAAATCAGAGAGACGTCGTGTTTAACTATGTAACATCGTGTCTATAATATTTTAGTTAACTTAAGCTGCACTGTTTTTTGAAGATCAGTATCATACTAGTTTTATTGAGAAGTAAGTGAAGTCCTGTTTTTATTTACCTGATATAGATTATTATTAGTAAAAAAAAAAATATCTAGTGTACCTTATTCAATATTTTTTGAAGTCATTGATTAATTTCATAATTTATTCAATTTTGAAGTGAAAGAAACTTATTAATATTCTTTCATTGTGTATTTAAATAAATATTTTTATTCTAATCAAAAAATTTGAACAAGTTTCTGCTTAATTACTCGATATTTAACTTGCGAATTAATCTAATCCATTTTAGAGCCTAGGTACACAACAATATACATATAAGTTTCTATATATTATTACCATGAGAAGTTATATAATAATGGTATAAAGTTATTTATCAGTACAGATTACTTATATATATATATATATATATAGAATTATTTTTAAGAAATAGCTTTTATGGTAATGCACTGCCCAATTAATTAGATCACTGGATTGAAAAGGATCAAGTTTTGTTTCTATAATATGTCTTTATTACTATACTTAATCAATTATTTAGTTCAAACTTAAATATTTTCAGAAATTCTGAATTAAAGTTCAGTAAATATTTATAATGGCTCTTCCACCAACATACAAACAAATAGCAATGAATCAACAATCATCAGCTCGTAAGTTATTCACAATCTAAGTAAATGTTTTATGTAAAAAAAAATAATGTTTTTAAATGAATTATGATTTTTAAAATAATGATAAAATGTAAACATTTATATCTTTCATTTTTTGAAGAAAGAAAAATATATATATATATTATCCATCAACATTTATTAATACAGGAATTAATTCTTTTGGATCAATTTTTTAATACAAAAAATCAAATATAATTAGAATGATTATAAAACTTTAAATATAAACTTAAAAATAAATAGAATATAAATCAATTACAAAAATTAAATACAAATTAATTGTAGTAGTAACTGGCTATGGCTGTTATTTATTAAAGTATTCTTAGTGCTAGTTAAGTTATTATTAATTAAAGTAAGTTTAATAATATTTTGCAAATAGTTCATTTTTTCTATTTTTAAAGTTATTGGTTTTTTACGTAGTTAACTAGTTGCATGTTTTCAGTTTTTATAATTAGTTTATTTTGAATTTTTGTTTTATTACTTTGGTTTTGAGCTTGTAAAAAATGTGCCCACAGGTGCTCCAGTCACATTCAACATTTTAAAAGGTAAATTATTTAAATTATTAAATTGCTACTTTTATTATTATCCTTTATCACATTATTCAATGATAAATACTTAAAAAAATATATTTATTTAAATTTAAAACAACATTAAATATTGTACAAGGTGATTATTTTAACGCTACCCACTCAATTCTTTTAAAATAATAAGTTTTTTCAAACATTTTTTTTTTTTTTTGTTAGTTAAATATGTATCTTCATTTATCTATTATAAAAATGACTGGTCAATAACAAATTTTTGATCAATATTTAGGAAGTTATTAGCATTTTAAAATATAAATTGAAGGTGAACTGTGGATGCTATTTTTAGTTATTTATCAACAGCACTTCTCTTCCTAACTCAATACAAAAATGTAAATATCTTCTGAAGAACTCGTCAATAAATTGTTATTCTTCAGTCATAATGACTTTTTCTTATTTTCATCTTATTTTTAAATGGTTAAAATATAATGCTTATTCTTGAATTTTAAATTTTAACTTATTAATAAATTTTCATAAATTATGTGACATTAACACATCATATAAGTAATAATAAATGTGAATATTTATGCCAGTTAAAGTTCTGAATTTTTTACATTCTTTTCTAGATTTAAAAATTTTTATAATAATTCATCTTATTAATTTAATACAATGCAATAAATTGATTAATCATTAAACCATCAATCAACTACAGATAAAAAAAACTCAAATTAACTTAGTTTTACCTATAAGCTACCATTATTTTCTTAATTATAAGTTATAAATTAACATTCACAATATACTAAAATGAAATTGTCAAGTCCTCATTTATATTTTTTATGGAAATTACAAAGAAACCATTGATGTGAATTTTTATTATTTTATTGTTATAAGAAATTAAAAAATTAATTTATTAAGAAAATTATTTAATTAAAATAAATAATTTACACCAATCATCTTTAACATAAAATAAAATAAATTTGAATGAAATTAAATAGAACTATTCTATAACATAATAAAATAATACTTTAAAATAAAAATAATTACTTAATTAAAATCCTTATAATCCTTTCAAAATATTCAATCCTATGATTGTTCATATTACAACTAATATATTGTTTAGTTCTGTGTTTAATCAATGCTAAAATTTGTTAGAGCTAACCCTACTAAATTTTGAGTTCCTCAAAATTTAAGATAATTAGTGCAATCTATAATTTAACTTTTATGTATTACTTTGAAGAAAAATGTATTCTCTAATAAATAACATTTGTAATGAGTAATTAAAAATGACTTCTACAATAATATAAGATAACAATATTGACCCTTAAAATACATTCAAGTTTATTATTATTCTAAAATCATTTTTGATCCGAAAACTGATTAAATTAAATTTTTATGGTGGCGGTCTTTAGCTAATTATAACTTAACTCTTTCAGCTAATAAACTAAACAACATGAATTTAAGCCAGTAAATCTATTTTGTTACCTAGTTAATTATACTAACAACTAGGCAGCACATATTTCACATATATCCAAAAAATTATTGTATTATAACTTGCTACTTATGTTGAAGAAATAATATTTTTTCCACTTGGTGAAAATGTTAGAAAATACATAGATTTAACTTCACTATGATAAAACTTCAATTTATAAGAAATATAAAATTCTTCCCTTGCTATTTCTTTCTTTTTTTTTTTAAGCTGTATAATTCTATTCCTTTTTACATCGTAACATGAAAAAAATGTTTCTAACCTATTTTATATAAAAAAAAAATTTGATTGATACAGTATGTGAAAAGTTTCCTAATTTTTTCAGCTTCTAAATCAGGATCCTTTCAAAATGGTTAGTAAGTCTTTTATACTTTACTTTTACTGTGACTAATTGCATGTAAATTCTTAATTTTATGTAGATAATTAATTTAATCATATTTAATGGTTATTATTTTGTATTAATTGCATAATCTTATCTTGAAATTAAAAAATTTTAATTTATACTTTTAATGAAAGTTTTCTGTTGGTTGATTTATTTATCTTTAGTATAAATTTTCAAATCAATGTTGCGAGGTTTATAACAAAATATCAATTTATTTAAATTTTTATTTCTTTCATAATGGATTTATAAACCTATTTTTTTCATAATTTCGGTAGTTTTTCTGTCAGTTAATTAATTTTTGTATATTTTTATGTAAGTTTAAAAGAAATTTTCTATATACTGATTAAAGACTCACTTTAAAATAAATGAATAAATACTTATTATAATAAAATGATAAGTTTTACATCCTTCTATTTCCTGAATTTAACATGATACAATGGGTGATGGCTCTCATTCACATGTTAGAGAATCAAAGATGTTTCTTGGTTAGTCTAATGATGGATAGGACGGGTATTATTAATATGTGGTATAAGATTTAATTTTACATGCCTTTTTATGCTTTCAAAAAAAATTGTTGAGTATAAATGTATGTTCGAGTATTATTTCAATTAATGTAGAAGTTCAAAGTTAAAAAATCAAATAAATGATTCTTTGAAAAAGCCTTAAAGAAAACAATGCATCTTTCTTTTTGATATAATATACATGATGTTCCGTTTTAAGGGTTAATAGTTATAAATTGCTAATCAATTATATTTTAAATATGCATTAAATAAAACTTTTTTTGTATTCTTATTGAACTTTTTACATCAGATATTAAAATTTCTTAACATTATTTTATTATTATGACTGTTAACTATTTAAAATATGTTTCAATTTTCTTTTTTTTTTGTGAAGTATTTAATTCATAAATAAAAAATTAACCTCATTTAATAAGTAATTTTATTAACTACTAATTAAAATCTGTTATTTGATCTGTATAATCTTTTTTTAGTACATTAAAAACAATAGCCATTTGTTTAGCTATAATTCTATTGTTTTTTTTTTCTTTAATCTTTATTTCAATGACAAATACAAATAACTTAATTGAAACTCTCTAAAGGTTTTAATCTTCATAATTTCAAAAAAAAAAAAAAAATTAATAATAGTTTCTACAATTTTTTTAGCTTAAATTATGCAATCTTAACTGTATTTATGCATTCATAAAATATGGGTATATTAAGAAAATCTTTGTATCCTGTTAATATTCTTCTTTGTTTTCTTACTGCGAAAATATAACAAAACTATATATTTCTTATTTAAAAGTAATAGCTATTGTTAAGAACTGATTTTCTTTATTATTTTATTAGATTATAAATAAAAAGATAAGATATATATATATATCATATAAATAAATCAATAACTTCTAATCCTAATTGAAATTGCTCATTGAATTATGATTTATTGTTACAGAACGATTAAGACCAGGTGGGAATTCTGCTCAACTTTCCAATTCTGTAAGCATACTATTATCATTTTTAAATCAATTTATATACTGCTTCGTCAAAAATTTTTGTTTTGAATATGATGAGTATATATTATATTTCATATAGAGTTCCTAATTTTCACCATTTCTGTACCATAAATTTTTAATCACATAGTATATTCGATTGAACTATGATAATAAACATAATTAAATAATTATACTTATTGTTATTTTAGAAAGATCAAAATCAGAGTCCTTTTATTACCAACAGCCATGGAAACCCTGCATTCCATCCTCAAAAAATTACAAAGGCTGCAGTAAGTAAAGAATAATTTTTAGTTAAAGATTATATTTTTATTATGTCTTTTTTAGCTTCAATAAGAAGCTAAGAAAGTATTAATTTTACCATGATTTGTTTGTTTATTTATTTTTTTTTTTTTTTT